GTAGAAATCTGTGCAACAACGCAAATTTTTACTATTTTCATTTTGGACTCTCGTTTCTTGAAAAATTGTTCAATGATCCCAATTAATTTTTTTCAATATTGAGCTCTTAATGGCAGTACAGTAACCAATCATAATGAAAACATGAAACATCATTTTCAATTCAGCCCAAACATTTCACTTGAATCTTGTACTAGGCTAATATTTTAAGAGTAACTTAAAGACTGTAGTTCAGTAATATCCATAAAACACTAACTGAACCTGCACTAATTCACACAATATCACAAATCTATTTATATTCAGCAATTACATTACCCCACAATGATTTTTAACCGTTTCACCACCAATTCCCTCTTTTTATCACAAATTCACAAAATAGTCCTGTTTATGATCTGCACTTTCCTTCCAGAAGATTGGGACAACAATAGCCAAATTGATTGGTTAAAAACTAAAAATTGACTAAAATTTTGTCTATTGGCTCTAAAATTAGGATTCATTTCCAGAAATATTGCAGAATATACAAGAAAAAAGTGGTGGTGAAAAGGTTGAAACATTACTACCTGAACAGAAAACATTAAAAACAGATAAAAACATTTTGCAATCTGTCAAAATCATTTTACCAAAATTACAGAAACATTTTTAATAAATTGTGTTCTGCTGCTTGTATAGTGTAAAGAAACTTCCAGGGCTAATTAGAATTTTCCAAGGAGTATTTTTGATCCAATAGACCATTTTCCGTACACTGCGAGAATCACGCGTTATGCGTGAAATCGAACGTAAAAACAGGACAAACAAAGGTCATAGCGTCGTAGTGGCGTCAAACATCGCGTGGGATTCGATAAACGCGAAAATATTTTGGGGACATTTCCATGCTTAATAATGTGCTGTCCACATTTGATGATAGACAATTTCGATTAAGTGAGGGTATTCGGAATCAATATTCCTCTGTCGAAGATCGGCCTGTCGATGTGAGCTACGAAATAAAGAAATTTGAGTTGAAAATCAAATCGTTCGATTTTTGCGATAGACGTTCGGCGCGCGTCTTTCATGCATCTCGCGAGATCTCGCAGTTGAACAGAAAATCACCTATTGTGATATACAGTGAAATAAGTTATTTCAGCTGGTATTAATTTTCGCTGATATTATATTTTGGCTTTTTTTTGGATTTTGATGAATTGAATGTAAAATATGCGAGAAAAAAGGTATTTTTTACTGAATTTTATTTTCACCATCAGTGAAAATTTCTCTAAAGGTTCTACACAAGGGCTAGGGACTTTTGTGAAATTTTGTCTTTCCAAATGCCACAGAATCCTGAAATCGCTAAAATTTCTCTCAATGAAAATTAAATGATTTTCAATATGTGTTGCTCAATGACAGACATGTCACTTATTATCGAAAACAAATTTAGCAAGAAGAATGTAAATATCAAGAATTCAAACAGAAAGGAAACTCACACTTGAGGTCTGGCTAATTTAAAAATAAACTAAATACATGGTAAAAATTCCAATACAGTAGTATTCTACAAAATATCCTAGTTAAATGATACACATTGTAAAAAACAAAAATCCCACGAAAAACTGAAGAAACTAATTTTATCAACAGCGACACGACTGGTGCTCAAAACAAATAAGTCAGACATGATACCTAGAATTTCAAGACTGTTCACTGCTGTCAATATCGCTAACACTGTACAAGAGTTCACAGAACAACCCTCCCAGATATGCACAATGAAATTCCAGCATTGCTATCCATTAGAATGAATACCAAATGAACACACATATATTACATAAAGAGACAAAAGAAATCATTTCTTACCACTGCTTGTTTTCCAACAGAATATCATAATTTCCTGACTGGCTCAGAACATAAACCCAATCACCAGTTACAGCGACTACTAAGCAGAGACTACTAAGCAGAAGCTACGACAATGATGGCCTATATACCCAGAGATAAGGGGCAAGTATAAAAACAGCTGAGAGCTGTTGACATAGAGGCATGCCAGGGTAATGTGAGAAAACAAATGACTGACAGCAACAGGGCTTGTGAACTTGCATAATGAGAGGGATAAAGGGCAGTTAAAAATAACACTTTATACCCTGGGTTCCTGTTATAATCATCAGAACAGGACTGTCCAATAACAACAACACACATGACAGGATAAGACCCTTTCCATCACTGGATACGAACAGCGTACATGTTGTCAGGTGTCACCTCACCCCCACAAACAGGAAGTGGGTTTGCCGGCTCGTGATGTTCAGGACGCAAATTTAAGAGTAAATGCAACGAGGTGGGTGAACACGTATTTGACTCGCATCACGATTCTGTCCAACATAAAAAGCATTTGTCAATTATATTAAAATATCAAAAAAAAAGTGATCAATATTCCAAGTCACAACTATCAAATAACAATTAAAAGTATATTACAGTACATTTTTGTATTTGTGTTGCGACTTCTACTGACGAAACGATTAATGCAGATATTGACTGTTTTTTTTCTTCTTCTTCATTAAAAAGGTATGTCAAAACAAATTTTTCAAAAAAGTTGTCATTATATCAATTTCTTGATGCAGTAATTTCTTGTAATTTTTTTTTTTTTGACCAATTAGTTATAATTTTTAAATGCCCTTAATACAGGGTCTTGTCAAACATATAGAGTTTATATAGATAATAATAACAAAGTTATCATTCTTAATGGTTAGTTGTTTTTAAAAAAAAAAAAAAAAAAAAAAATATGTAAAACCATACTTTACTTCAAATTCAATTGAATTGTTACTGCTTCAAAAATAGAAAATGAGCAGAATGATTATTATATGTCTGAGAAAAAAAAAAAAAGTCTGAGAATTAAACAACATTTATAAGCAAAAACTCATATCTGAATCAAAATAAATAGAATACACATATTAGGAAAAATAACGATAAAATTAGAGGTTAACATTTTAGTATATTTTCTGATGAAAACTATGTATCATATGTTCTTGGGTTGATATCCATGTGAAGTATAGCTAAAAGGCTAGGTGTGGCATCCAGTTATTCCAGGTTCTATTACCAGAATTGCCTTATAATTCTTACACACAAGTGACAACAGAAACTGTATTAACTATTTGACAATATGTAAGCTGACTTTTATATAATTTTACAAGAGACAGATTTTTGTGAAATTCAGTAGCAGTGAAAGATTCATTAGGGTTCGTTTACGGGACAGGACCCCAATGAAATACTATTCTTATAAGCATACTGAAATGATTAAATAGCAATTGCCTTAAATAATATCGCAATAAGTTGTCACTTTTTCTGTTTCATTACTTGGGTAAAAGCCAATGTGATGAATATTTAAGAGAAGTTAAGATAAGTTATAATACAGCTATTCTAATAATCTTTAGAAAATCATGGAATCCACTTTCCAGTTTCTTCTCCTAAACACTAACATAGACGGGAAACACCATTGTCATTAACTGCATAAATTATGTTTTTAGATTTCCAGGACATTTGACCATGCACGTTTCCAACTAATATGTTCAACTATAGAAGGACTCCAGTATTGCAATTATTAGAAACCAAGAGACTCACTTAACAATTTACTCCTCAAAGCAATGTACTAATGACCAGGTATAAGTTGGCTCTGTATCACGGTTGAACGGTAACGTCTGCTAGTGTAAAAAATTCCATGTCAGAGAACTAACTGTAAGCCAAATACAGACAATATTTTTATTTATTTACTGCGCAGATCAATGGCCAAACCCTACTACACATCGACAAAGATGCAGTTATTTTTTTTATCTGCACTAAAGACAGGAACATAGGATTGACATTTTTTTAACATGACCTCTGAACTGGATGTCATATTCCTAACACGATGGGGAGTCAACTGCTGTGAGTGCAGTCAAGGATAAAAATCAAACCTGAAATACGGATAAACGTAACAATTCAATAACCTTCAAGTATCTTTCTGTTGCAACATGACTATGGCAGTGTTTGAATGAATGATTTTTTTCCACCAATTTTTGGTACAATATTTTGCAAATTTTCATGTATTTTTTAATGATTTCTTTGTTAAATTTCATTCAAATGTGCATAATTTCCTATTAGGTATTGATTAAAATTGTAGAAAAGTAAAAAATATAACAGGTTTATTTTGTGAAATGTTGGAGATTTAAAACTGACGCAAGATTCAAAGAGAAAAAATTAGCCGCATTAAACCGGTTCTCATCACCGAGTTGGAATCAAGAATTAACCAAAGCAGTACATTCTGTGTACTGATACTAATGGATCTCTCCTCTTATGATGAAAACTTCACAAGAAAACAAGCATATAATATTATCGTTTTACGTGATGAGAAATGGCACATAAGAGTCAATAAAGCATAGAATCACCACACAACACAACTTACTACATCCAACCTTGCTACAGAGCTACAAGAAAAACATAGACCACTGGGAATGACTTCAGAGGTGGTGAAATAAACCAAAGGTCATTATAAACAAAAAGAATAATAATCACTTACACCAAAGTTAAACAAGACACGGTATACTACAGGGAACTCGTAAAGCTCGTCTTCTTTGAATACATACATGAGTAATAACAAAACTATTTCAAAAAACATTTATATGAGCAAAAAAAATTTGTTCGAATTTTGCCAAGAGCTACAGATTTACAGTGACTGCAATGTTAGTATTACAATCTACTTTCTGTCATTCATATGATGAATTCTTGGCTAAAAATTATTTTAAGGGGTACAGCCCAAAAGTAACTATATACAGGAAGGGATCAACTTGGTATTTCCTGGGCCAAATTACGACCGCTAAACTTACTCACTCAACTGGTACAGTAAATGCATATCATACATTCCTATATAAACAAGCATCTGGAGGCATGGTCGCTCCAGCAACCATACGTAAAATAAAAGAAAGGAAATGACAAAATTTTACATCCACCTTCAAATGAGTTTGCAGTTCTTTGGTATAAGACAGGATCCAACACAAAAATCAGAGATAATTTAGCCCTACCTTCGTTTTCCATTCTAACACAGTTACTAGCTCCTAGCGTACGAATGGGGACTATGCCTTCCTGAGTCGAACAGTTTTCCACGGACAAGGATCTGACAAGATACCAGTCGGATTGACTGTCTGACCTTTCTAACACTTCTACTGTTTGGCCCTTTTTGACGGATAACTCCTGGGAGGATCTGGCTTCGTAATCTTCTATTATAATTGTTAGTTCAGCACTGGAGCGGCTACCAATCTACAGAAAGAATAAAAGAAAACGTAATTAGTTATTAAGAATAAAATAAACGCAGTAAAAAACACAATCAATTGATGTTTTCACATCTGAATGATCGATCCTACAATATATCATTTAATTAAAATTGAAAAATATTCTCCATCAATTTAAAAAAAATATCATTTCTTTCAAATCTATCAGGAAAAAGTTTAGTATTTTAAAAATCACTTCAAAAACTTGTAAAGTATTGTGAATATGTTATTAGTAAGGCGAGCGCATACTAGAAATGTTGTTTGCACATCAGTGATAGATGCACTGACAAACAAAAATAGACAACAGATTGATCTCAATTTGAGATGTGGCTCAGGGCAGTAATTCTACAAACTCTAAGCAATTAATAGCAGAAATTTTAAAATCTTCAGCAACATCTGTTGTAGAAATATAAAAAAGTACAATATGAAATGTTTTATTGATAGCAGTCTTTTGAGAAGAGAGATAAGACTATGCTTGGGAGATGATTTGCGCAAATCAAGAAATTCAAACATAAGCTCTCTCAATCACTTTTATTAATATTGTGTTCAGGAGAGCAATTTTTACATGCTTACAGTAAAATGAGATGTAGAAAAAAAATATAAGAACATTTCATTTATGTTAATGTAATCTGATTGGGCCATTCAGTATACAACATTCAGGTAATCTGATTGGTCCATTCAGTTATACAACATTCATGTTATCTGATTGGTCCATTCAATATACACCATTTATGTAATCTGATTGGTCCATTCAGTATACAACATTCAGGTAATCTGATTGGTCCATTCAGTATACAACATTCAGGTAATCTGATTGGTCCATTCAGTTATACAACATTCATGTTATCTGATTGGTCCATTCAATATACACCATTTATGTAATCTGATTGGTCCATTCAGTATACACTATTCATGTAATCTGATTGGTCCATTCAGTATACAACATTCAGGTAATCTGATTGGTCCATTCAGTTATACAACATTCATGTTATCTGATTGGTCCATTCAGTTATACAACATTCATGTTATCTGATTGGTCCATTCAGTATACACCATTTATGTAATCTGATTGGTCCATTCAGTATACACTATTCATGTAATCTGATTGGTCCATTCAGTATACAACATTCATGTAATCTGATTGGTCCATTCAGTAAAAAACATTCATGTAATCTGATTGGTCCATATAGTATACACTATTCACGTAATCTGATTGGTCCATTTAGTATACAACATTCACGTAATCTGATTGGTCCATTCAGTATACACCATTCATGTAATCTGATTGGTCCATTCAGTATACACTATTCATGTAATCTGATTGGTTCATTCAGTATACACCATTCACAGAATCTGATTGGTCTATTCAGTATACACCATTCATGTAATCTGATTGGTCCATTAAGTACACACCATTCACATAATCTGATTGGTCCATTCAGTATACACCATTCATGTAATCTGATTGGTCCATTCAGTATACACTATTCATGTAATCTGATTGGTCCATTCAGTATACACCATTGGTTCATTCATGATAATGGAACAATAATTAGCTGAACAAAATAATCTATTCTGAGTTAAACAGGAAAACAGGTTATAAATGTGACACAGGATATTTTTAATGTCAGTGAAAGAAAACACAGCTACCATCCAGAAGTAAAATGTCAACTTTGGAGCCAGCCGACCTGCTCCAGCTTACAATATCAGTCAATTCTAGATTTAATACATATCAGATGGGCAGCCAGATGAACAACCCTGACAAATAGATTTGCCACCCCTAAAATTCATTTAGGATAACCCAATACTGCTTACATAGATGGTCATTCCATTTTAGATGGGTGGGGCAGAGAGTAAAGAGTTGTTATTCCAACTGTACTATGTAATTTCAGTTGAATCTTAATAGCTCCAAGCTAAGACATTAAATGCATCTTAAATTACACTGTATAGAAAGCTGTAAAAAATACCAGACATCTGTGATTCATTATCTTCCTTATTTAAAAAAACTAAGTTCAAAATACATGCAAATAATTTTGAAAATGAAGTCATGTTAATAACAGAAGCGAACATAAATTAAAAATTCCTTTTTATGTATAGCAGATCATTAAAATAAGACTTATTTTAAACACTGATTCATTATTATTGCTACTAATAGGGAAAAACAGTAATTTGATTAAAAGTCTCCGTCAACAAAATTAACATTTTCACCATAAATCTGAGACTTGTAGCCAAAAGAAAAATGTGTATTATGTGCCTCATCCACACAACAACAGCTCGGAATCTGAGGAAGCAAGCAATAACTTTGAAATACTGAGACAAATTCTGAAGTAATTAAAATGTGGAAAATACTTGTCTAGTATGAGTTTGACAATTGAGATGCAAGGTAGAGAGCTGCGAGAGTGACGAACATGAATTTTTAGAAGCTTACCTTATCGCTATCAGCTGTGTTATTGGTATTTGATGTAGAAACCGAGGTGATAGATGCCGTCTCTTGTTGGTCTACAGGACTAACTTGGAGATGATGGTGATGTTGTCGCAAGTCAAGGTGGTGTTCGCTCTCGGTCAGACTGTCAATATCTTCTGAACTTGTATCTCTGAACACATGGATATTAAGACAAGAACGGACTAGGTTAAAACTGAGAGACTGGCGGAAGAAATCAACATTCCAACTGAACTGGTTTATTTTTGTCACCCATGGGAATACCAGACTTGGCTGTAAGTCAGATGTGAATGACCCAGTACTGGAAAATGTGAACCTCCCCCGATTCTATGAATGGAATGAACCAGCTGATGGACTAAGACTGGTGGGGTTATATCATTAATAGTGTTGATAGGGAGAGAGGATAGCGTTTGAGGATAAAGTTAAATCTAATTTGAACTGTTTTTAACAGGCTCAGTAAAACGGTCATAAAGTATTAAGTATTTTTCAATGTTCTAAGATGATTGTTCCGTGGTTAAACACTTTCCCACCGAAACCAAAGTCAATAAATAAATTAATTGATATTTAAAATCAGGGCTAAAATTAGATATAACCCTTGATTTTTTGCGCCGACACAATTTGCACATTTTTATGTATTTTTTGTATGTATCCCTGGTATACCTGCACCAAATGGGAACATTTTCCAACAAACTGTTTTTGCACATTTTTATGTATTTTTTGTATGTATCCCTGGTATACCTGCACCAAATGGGAACATTTTCCAACAAACTGTTTTTGCACATTTTTATGTATTTTTTTATGTATCCCTGGTATACCTGCACCAAATGGGAACATTTTCCAACAAACTGTTTATGCACATTTTTATGTGTTTTTCCATAATTTCTTTGCTAATTTTGGACCAAAAGGGAATACTTTCCTGTAAGCGACTGGTCATATTTTTCGGGGATATTACGCAGGTTTATATTGATTACAAAATATTGATTATAAAGATTACAAAAGTTGTCATTGCACTCAATGGATAAAATCAACTTTACATATTATCACTATGACGATCCTGAAACAGGTGTAGTTAATAGGACACGCCCTCCCACCCCACCCATCCTAAATTGTAGATGTTACAAATCATTAACCCTATGCTCTCAGTAGTCAATTATTCCAAAAATCCAGAACTAAAATTAGACAAAATGTTTAGTTAAAAAAATACAACAGTGTTTATACTCATCAGATATGTATGTACTAGTAAGTGGAATGATCAGTTCACTGATACTGTGCAGGCGAATATACCAGCTGACTGAAACATTAGGATACAGTGTCAACTAGGGAATCTCAACATAGGCAGATGATGAGTGTTCACTGTGGGAGTTTTGTGTATTCATGTGTAAATCAGACAATTTGAATTCAGAAAATCATTCACAAGATTCACAATCTTTTTTTTTTTTAAAAACAACGTCAACTTTTGTCACCTTACAATATTATTAATACTGTACAATTAGTTATTCACTGGTTTTTAATTTTGCTATTTTCACGAAAAGGTAAAATTTGATAAATTGAATTCACAAGAACATGTAAAATAATAATGGAACATTTAGTTCAAGATTGTAAACTTAAAACCCAGTGAAATTTCTCAAAGCTTCAAAATAGTCAAATTAATTGTATTATTGATGATGATAATTATGTCAATTTGGTTCAAAATTAACAGAAATTGTAGAAAAAAAACACATAAAAATGTTTAAAAAAAATTGTCTAAGGGTTGAAACATTATTTAGATTTAGTTTCATGCACCAAGAGTATAGCGCCCCCACACATCAAGCTAGGGGAAAATGCCAGCGTCATCATTTGGGTTGTTATATATAATCATCCTGATGTAACCATCCATTTTACCCATAATGCAATCATCATCAAACAATGTGAAATAGTATTGTCATAACCATACATGTACACCCAAGGAGAACATATATTATACATAGCAACCAATTCAAGATGGCTGCTGCGTGTTGTGTAGGCAAGCATAATAAGAAATTTTTAAAAAACAAAATATATCTCTAAACCAATTGGAAAAACTGTGATAATGACATTTAGGATGCGACCATGGACCGAAGTCAACATTAGCAACCATCAAAATTAACTGCATAAGACATGCAATATAACATAAACTGCGTTAGCAGGAATTCACAAATTTACAAAAACTGCCATTAGTATAGCTAAATATTATTCATTTACAATTATTTGGCATAAATTATGTGTAAATTCCAAGCAGAATTTGTATATTTTAAAGTAAAAACATTATGGAAGTTTTTAAAACTAAATCTAACTGCTTACCTGGCAGGTTTTGGAGTGGCAGTGAGTCTGTTAGATTTCAGAAAAGTTGTTCTCGGTTGGCGGATAGTATCCTTTAAAGCTGAAAAAAACAAGATTAATCAATTTTAATCAACAAAATTTGTATATAGCATATTTATAGTGGATCATTGTTCTCATATTAACAATAATATCTGTTTTCATGTTTGGCATCTTTCATGCAAATTAACGGATTGATTAACTTTATTAAAGCTCACACAACACACATGGCAGACTTTTTGTTTACACATGCTTTTAGGTAATGAGGTTCCAATATAATTCACACTGGTCCAATATATGAGCTTCATATGTTCAAGAAAATTATAACACAAAGTCTCCAGGAACTTTACCCATGATGCAAGTTAAACTTTCAGCACATGTGGTATGACTGCCTGCCTGGTTTTTATTCGCCAAGTGTTAATGCAAGGGGAAGCAAAGAATGAACTTACCTCCTCGTAAATGAACTTGTCTCTCTTGAATAACTTCGCGGAGTTTCTTCACCCACTCCTGCTTAGCGTCTAGGCTGGATGCCTGCAAACAACAGAGTTGAATTGAGATGTGTTGTGCACCACCACAGGTGAAAAAAAAGAATTCTTTTGTTTAGTTTGACTCCATTTTTGTTCTAAATATTTTTTCAATTTACATAAAAACAAGGTTATATATATTTACAAAGTACCACAAAATATTCTTTTATTAAAAACAGAAAATTCAAATCAATATCGCAGTGCCAAAACCAAGTTGACTTTTCTTTGAAATGGGCATCATCTCAAAGTGGGCATTACATAACATGTAGTTAAATAGCAAAATTTATCTGAACTTCACTGGCAACTGATTGCATTTTTTAGAATTGAGAAATTCTCGTTGACAATGAACATGTCCAATCTTTTTTCTCCCAAAAGATCGGGGATGTCTGACTTGTAGGGGTCATGCATAAAGTGCACTTACCTTAAGTACAATTCTATTATCTGATGTAGGTTGTCTACCGGTCCACAAAGCTAATTTACAAGAATCTCCTTCTATATGTTCGGTTATTCCTATATCAGATGTCTGAAAGACAAAGGACAAAAAAAAAACATTTGGTAAGTTAGGTGGTACAACAAGTAGTGAGACACATGGCAGGCAGGCTAGGTGGTGTTGCCAAGTACACTAAATTGAATGCCATCTAGAACATGCACTTGTATTTCTTGCTATTTATGTACTGTGGATTTCTAGTATTTCAGAGTCACTATTGATTTATATTGTGGCCATTTTCCTTGGATCCAACGAGTTAGGCTATTTAATTTATTAATCATTGTTACAGGAGCACCCTTAAAAACAATGATATTCATTGTACAGCCATGAAATGCTCCAAACAAATTCAGAAGTACACACTCCCATCGTGCGCTCATCAATAGTACACAGTGTTTCATTCAACATGGCTTATCAAGACCGGACTGCAAAATAATGAAGCATTGTAACGACAGATACCATTATTTAACGATGAGCCTTGTACTTATGTACTAGAAGTACCGGTAATGCCATATGAGGGAGTTAAGCTTCTATGATTGATTTAAATAAACAAGCCATGCATGGCACAGTCCCAGTTAGTTATCAAATTTAAGATATACAGTTTTGTTTATAGTAATATAGCTGGAATATAACCATGTCAGGAATATGATTTTTTAACATTAAAATGATTGACATTTGTATCTGATCGTCAAACAAGTACTTGTCCATATTGAGAGATATTGCTCTGGAACAGCATTCAAAATCAGCCATTTTGAATACATGTATATATATAACATGATGTATAATGAATATATAAAATTTGAATATAATCAGTCAAAGCATTTAAGAGATATGGCTCTAGAAGCCCATTCATTAAAACAAAATGGCCACCAGACAGCCATTTTGAATCCGATCTGAAAAAAAAATGATGTGCATCAGGAACCTGTAATGTCTAATATATGTACCAAGTTTGAACGAAATCCATCCAGAAATGCTTGATATTTGATGTTTTTTAGCACAAAAATGGCCACCATTTGGCCATTTTGAATAGAATCGTCAAACCAATATATCTGTCTATCTATGAAATGATGTATAATGAATATTTAAAATTTGAACATAATCAGTGAAAGCAAGTCAGAGATATGGCACGAGAACCACATTCATTAATACATCAAAGAAAGCTTAGAAAGAACTCCCGTGTGCTGAGAGTATTGAAGACGCATTAAAAATTAATTCAAAATTACTTGTACTTGAGATATTGATGGAATAGCTGAAAACTAATTATGTAAATCAGGTAACTGATATGAACAGATTTAAGTGTAAAACTAATAAGGTCTGCACAATGTACCAAGTTTCATTGAAATGTGATTAGAACCCAAAAAATATTAATTATTATGCTAATTAGAGAGTTAATATGAACAGATTTTAACCCAAAATTAATCAGGCCGTCTATTGTCCTAGAGCATTTATGTACCAAGTTTTATTCAAATGTGATGATCAATACTTGAGATATCAGTATTAATTAATTATGTTAATTAAGTGATTAAGAAGCATACATATTTACCAAAAACTAATATGGTGTATAGTCCTAGGTTCATTGAA